GACCATGGGCTACATTTAGCCCTTTGTAAATATTCCTTTCATCCACTGTTATGTGACTTCATTCTATAGTGCTGTTTTGGGTTAGCAGCTTTAGTTGGGTGTAACTACCCAGCCCTTATCAATGCCAGAAAACAGGTCTTATTTTCTAACTCCATGCATACCTTTTTATCCTCATTTTTACAGTTCCTTCTCCTCCTCCCCTCTCTCTTTCACACACAGATCCCTACTAGATAGGCTAATCTTTCCTTAGAGCCATCCTCCTGTGAAGGACAAGAACCAGATGTCCTTCAGAGCATTGGTTTCTCTTTGAACTTACTAAGAGGGTAGATAGCAGAGAATGTGTAAAACAACATCTCCACTTCATGTCTTGTCTTCATGTCTTGTGGTGACTTAAACTAAGGTCAAGATTCAGACTCAATACAGCGTAAAATAGCTTGATTTACTTCTACAAAGCTATTGGACTGACCTATTCATCAGTGTATATATATTATTTTTCAGTTTCTAATTTCACTACATGCCTATGATGTTCTGATGTCTCACTACATCATCACACCCTACCTTATGTTGTCCATTACATAAAAACAAGTACAGGCAAAAGATGGGAACCACTCCTTAGAGAAGTTTAAAAATAAGGTTGAAAACTACAGAAGAGCATATTATTATTGCAAAATCCTATCAATATACAGGAGGAAGCTTTAGAGTGCTGGGAAGGTGCCTGGTTTTATGAGTCCCAGCACTTCATAAGAGATCCTATATTTGGGGACATGATAATTAATAATTGCCTCTTTTTTTCTGTTGCAATAGAGCAAGGGGGCACCCAAAATTAAAGAATAGAATCAGTGAAAGGACATGTATTTTTACACATCATATAATCAATCTATGGAACTCACTGCTACAGTAGGTGATGGAAATGCATTCAGTAGCTTTATTCAGTGTGGGAAAATGTTATGACAGTTAATATCTGTAGGTGTACAAGTGATGATAATGATATGAGTAACCAGACTTATTGTTTTGAGGCATAAACCATTTACCTGTCCAAATGAAGAAGAAAGATCCTATCTTCCTCCTCCCTTGACCTCATGCATGGCATTGCACAAAGGTATATTGTTAGTTTCTGCCTTCTTCTGGCTAATCCCAGTACCTGAGCAGATAAGCCAGTGGACTGATGCAGAATGAAAATCCTTTTTGGTGTTTAGGAATAGAAAGAACTAGCTTTAAAAGTCAATGATGCACCAATTTGTTAAGGTATTTTTCTGATAGGAAACATGAGCTTTTAATGTACTGTACATAATTTATTTTTCCTCAGAGCAGTGCTCTGAATAAAGGGAGGATATTTTCCAGTCAGTGTCCACCTACTTCCCAAGCTTCTGCCCTTTCCATTCTCCTGATCACCCCCTTCATTCTTTGTACCCTTCAGACATGGTGATTGCCTTTATGCAACTCCAAGAAGTTGGGACAGCCTCACAATTACTGATCACTAGGTTCCATCCTTCATTTTCTTCCAAGTCCACTTCTAAAAGCAGTCCTTGAAGCATTCGAGCTATAATGAGCATACTTTAGTGTGTACTTCTTTGAGTATTATACACTCAGTAGTCCATTAATAAATGATCAGTCTCCTGAAAACAGAGTGGAGTATGGCCTTCTATTCCTGGAACCTTACAATACCTGTTTGATGTTAAGTTGATCTCTCCGCACCAGTAACACAACTATTTTTATAATAGTAATTAATATTAAGCCTACTCATTACAACCTTCATAATTCTGCAGGCTCCTTATTGGTTCTTTACATTAGACATTATTTAAATTAACATATGCACCAATGTTCTTCCCATACTATCAACACAGATAGCATTTTAATAAAAGATTCACAAATTTTAAAAACACTCATAAAAATCCATGCTAAAACCAGTTATAACAGAAACATAACAACAATATAACTATGGGTCATGTCTTCTCTGACTTCAATTTTTCCATTATACTACCTCCAACTTACCTCTAACTTATCTCACACTAGTCATCTCAGTTTCCTCTACTCCTCTAAATTTAAGCTCATTTAAACTAGAACCAAATTCCTCTTAATATAGACTACAGCATGAATAAAGTTATTCATATTCCTAAGTGCTTTTGAAGAGTCAAGATCTTTTTTATATAGAAGAGTTTTCTAGTTGAGAAGTGATGTGTACACTGATGGCAAAGATGTAATTTTAGGTTATATTGCCTTGTTAGGTTATAAATGAGGACCTGCAACTGATATGTATATTTTTTTAGAGGAAATGCTTGCTGTGAAATATGCTCTGTGGTGGTCTCCAAATGGAAAGTTTATAGCATATGTAGAATTTAATGATACTGACATACCAATTATTGAATATTCATATTATGGTGAGGACCAGTATCCTAGAAAAATGTCTATTCCATATCCCAAGGTATGTTGATTATTTTCAATGGGTGCCATTTTATTCCTCTTGGTTTGTAAATGGGTTGCAATGTCTTTTAAATCGAGATACCTCAAATGTACATGAAGAATGTTTATACTCCTGTGTAGCAGAGTTTAATTCTGCTCTAGCTTAGAATTTATTTAAGAAAGAAAAGATATAAACATGTGTATTATACCTTTACATGCACAGGAGTAGTCCCAATGAAATAAATGAAACTACTCATGAAAGTGCAGTTAAGCTTAGAAATATAAGGAGGTTCTGGGCCTTACTTTGCTTTCTTACCTGTTGTACTTATTGTGTTGCTTAACAATGTTTTCATTATAATATACTGTATTTTTTAAAAAAAATCAAGGCCTATGTTGCACTGAGAAATAAGAGGATGTGAGATCTCATATATATTCAAATCCTTCAGAGACCTGATCCAAAGTCCATTGACTTTAGGTAGTCAGGACATAGATGACTTCAATGGGCTAGGTTCAGGCCTTAAATGGGAGTTCCCAATATAAAGCAAAGTTGTTTGTTTTGTATTAGAGATCTCCTAGGAACCCAAGGGTACATCTACACAGCAGTGTTATTTCGGAATAACAGACGTTATTGTGAAATAAGACAGTCTGCATCTACACTTCAAGCAGTTCCTTCGACATAATGTCAAAATAATGTCGAGCTGGAGGACTTCTCACTCTGACTCCTGTAACCCTCATTTTACAAGGAGTAAGGGAAGTTGGAGGAAGAGAGCTCCTACTCAGACTTACTGCTGTGTAGACAGTGCCAAAAGCATAAATAAGCTATGGATGAAGCTCAAATTGTGTAGCTTATTTCGGCTTTAGTCCTGCTGTGTAGACATGCTCTAACAGAAGTCTTCTGCCCAAAACTAGGGCAGTATATATTCCAGAGATATACACTGCACAGAGAAGAAAAGAACTTCCGCCTAATTTCATGTTTTCTACCCCCAAGCACTATGCTTTTTTGCGGATGGACTTTGAACTAGATAATTTGTCTTGATGCATAAACTAATGATAAGTGAAGTAGCAAATTGCCACAATGAATTACTCTAGATTTATACTAGATTAAGAATTTGCTCCATTATGTTCCATAGTATTATTATTATTTTTAGAAACTTATTTCTTTCTTGCAAGAAAAAATGTTATTTTTTTAAACTGGTAACTAATCCTCCAGAGCTTGATTTGAATAACCTGGTAATACATTTCCTTTGAAGGCTGGGGCTAAAAATCCTACCGTTAGAGTGTTTATTGTAGACACTACTAACCCTGAAGGTTTAGGTCCTAAGGAAGTACCTGTTCCTGCAGTGATAGCATCAAGGTAGTGTGTTCTCAAATTCATCTTCTTTTCCTTTTCTGTTTTGTGCTGAATGATGGGACCTCTTAATTTCTTTTCTGGAGGTTCTTTTCTGTATGCTGCAGCTTCATACTTATCTACCGTATGGATCTGGAGCTAACCTGAAGTTTTAGATACTGCCTTTACTGATTCATATATTATGCAGTTTACAGTCCTCATTCACATAGGACTGAATCCAATCCCATTGAAGTCAATGGGTATTTTTCCATTGCCTTCAATAAAGCAAGATTGGGGCCATAATGGATGTGATAGTAACAGTCTACTTCTATATTATAATAACCAGCTTTCATTCTTTGTTTTTAGTGATCACTATTTCACTTGGCTTACTTGGGTAACAGATAATCGAATCAGTGTGCAATGGCTGAAGCGAATCCAGAATTTTTCTGTCTTAGCTGCATGTGACTTCCAAGAAAACTCCAATTCCTGGTACTGTCCAGAGGTACTGCACATTGATATATATGCTTAACTCTGCTGTGAAATTGAATTTACAGACAGTAGACGTTACAGAATTTGAATACAGATTCATAGATTTCTGAGGCTAGAAAGATCAATTAAATTATATAGTTCAGTGACTCTCTAGCTTTCCAGACTACTATACCCCTTTCAGGAGTCAGAGTTGTCTTATGTACCCCCAAACTTCACCTAATTTAAAAACTATTTGCTTACAAAATCAGATATAAAATACAAAAGTGTCACAACACTTTCCTACAGAAAAATTGCTTACTTTCTCATTTTACCATTGTTTTAAAAGAAATCATTGGAATATAAATATTATACAGGTTGAATCTCTCTAGTCCAGCACTCTCTGGTCTGGCATGATTTTAGTTAGCCAGATGTTCACTTATGATAGGCGGGGCCAAGTTTCCTGCAGTTCCATAAAGTTTGTTTACAGCCAGCAGTCCTGGCTCTTAATGTTCTGTGCTGTTCTAATTTATCCCCAAATGTCTTCTAGGAGCCCAGTAAGCAGTGGAAGTGTTGGTAATACTGGTAGACAATATTGACGTCCCATGGTCCAGCAAATTCTCTGGTTTGGCACCGATCAGGTCCTGGGGGTGCTGCACTAGAGAGGTTCAACCTGTACTTACATTTCAGTGTGTAGCATAAACAAATATGAAATTTTAGTTTGTACTGACATTACTAGTGCTTTTTATGTAGCTTATTGTAAGGCAAATATCCAGATGAATTGGTGTACTCCATGGAAGACCTCTGCATACCTCCAGGGTACACGTGTCGCTGGCTGAGAACCACTGATCTAGCCTGACCTATTCACACAGGCCATGGAGCTTCCTTCAGTTACTCTTATATCAAGCCCTGCAATGTGTGACTGACTAAAGCGTATCTTCCAGAAAGGTTGGTCCTCTAGTAACTTAGATATTAACAAAAAATATAGCTAATATCATGAGCTATCATGGGCACAACCCACTTCTTCAGATGATGAGTAGAGCAAGAGGCACAGAGGACCACAGAAACCCCAAAAATTTAAAGCAGAAAAAGAGGGGGAAAGCTACATTGTAGTCACAGATATTTTCAGTAAAAGCCATGGAGAGGTCACAGGCAGTAAGCAAAAATTCATCGCCTGTGACCTGTTCCTCGCTTGTATTATATACCCCTAACTAAAACTTGGGCGATTGGGGGAGGGGCGGGGGCAGCCCATGGGAGCCATTGATGCTCTGGGAGGGTTCCCCACTAATCCCGTGGTGGGAGGTTTGAGGGGCTGGCAAGCTCCCTACCTAGCTCTGCACAGCCCCCCAGAAGTAGCAACAAGTCCCTCAGGTTCAAGACAGAGCTGCAGTCAGGGAGACTCTGCACACTGCTTTGGCCTGAGAACCAGCTTCATAGTTCCCATTGGCCAGGAATGGTAGCCAGTGAGAGTTGAGATGGCAGTGCACAGAGCCACCTGGCTGTGCTCTACCTAGGAGCCAAGGGACATGTTGCCACTTCCAGTGTGCACCCCCAAATAAGTGCCACCAACAGCTCTCATGCCTCCTGTGCCCCATCCTCCTGTCCCTTTCCCAAGCTTCCTCCCACATCCAACTCCGCTGCTGCTCAGAGACTGCCTCGGCAGTGGCCAGCGTGGCTGGCATAGTGGGTGCCCAAGCTGCTTGGAAAATCACAGAATCCATAACTTCCATGACCTCTGTGACAGACTCACAGTACTTAAGATCTGAAAATATCAAAATATATTGTTATATGGTACTTCCCTTGTTCTAATAGTTCAGTGGTTTTCAACCTGTAGTCCCTGGACCCTGGAGGTCTGCAGACTATGCCTAAGGGGACCACAACTTCATTTGGAATTTTTTAGATTTTCACAAATGAAAAAGAAGGTTAAAAACCCCTGCATTAGTTAATCACCCTCATTGTTAAACTAAATAACTAAGAACCTAGAACTACTGATGAATTATTTCATGATACTGTGACTCCTCTGCAAAGTAAATCAATAAATAAATTTGAGTTACTAAAGCAAGAAATCAAATTGTCAGTACTATGTTTTCAAAGACTTTAAATAAAATCACAAAACAGATGTGCGCTGATTTCAAAGCCATTGGGTTTCTTTCTCCTCTTTATTTCTGAGCCCTGAGATCTCCTCACGCGGAAGAGCCAAACTGTGAAAAAATACACCCAATTTATATACTCTGAAAGCATATACAGGCAGTCCCCGGGTTACGTACAAGATAGGGACTGTAGGTTTGTTCTTAAGTTGAATCTGTATGTATGTCAGAACTGGCGTCCAGATTCAGCCGCTGCTGAAACTGATCAGTTTCAACAGTGGCTGAATCTGGATGCCAGTTCTGACTTACATGGGGTATGTCTACACTACCCTGCTAGTTCGAACTAGGAGGGTAATGTATGCATACCGCACTTGCAAATGAAGCCCGGGATTTGAATTTCCCGGGCTTCATTTGCATAAGCGGGGAGACGCCATTTTTAAAACCCCGCTGGTTCGAACCCCGTGCAGCGCGGCTACACGGGGCTCGACCTAGGTAGTTCGGACTAGGATTCCTATTCCGAACTACCGGTACACCTCGTTCCACGCTCCACGCTCTACCGGTACACCTCGCTCCACAGGCCCGGGGCTTTGCTCCCAGCAGACCAGAGGCACCGGGAGCAAAGCGGCAGCGGCGGCGGTGCTGATCTGCTGGAGATGGTCCCCAGCAGACCAGGGGCACCCGGAGCAGCTTTTCTCGCCCTGGAGGTCGAGGTGGCGGGACCACTGCGCTCTGGACGGTCTCGCTGCCTGCGAGCTCCAGGGAGAGAAAGCCCCGTTCGTAAGTGTGGATCCGACATAAGTCGGATCCGCGTAACTCGGAGACTGCCTGTATATTAAAGCTGTGTTTGAATTAGTTTCTAAATTACTTCAGTTAGGGTATGTCTACACTGCAAAGTTAATTCGAAATAACAGCCATTATTTCGAATTAACTTTAATAGCGTCTATATATGCAAACCGCTATTTCGAAATTAATTCGAAATAGCGAAGCACTTAATTCAAATTTGGTAAACCTCATTCTACGAGGAGTAACTCCAAATTTGAAATAGCTATTTCGAATTAAGTGCTGTGTAGACACTTAATTCGAAATAGGGCTCCTCCAGTCCTTCCCAGGGAGCCCTGGTGGCCACTCTGGGCACAACCAGGAAAACTTACTCTCCTCTCCCCCAGCCTTGGAGCCATTAAAGGGGTAGATCCTGGCCACAGTGCCTATACCAGCTCCAAGCCTGCCAGTTCAGAGCCAGTAGTGGCCACCCCATATCCAGTGGCTCCCAAACACGAGCCCGCAAGCCACCCGCC